AAAGGAAACAATTTATACAAAGGGTTTCCTTGAAATTAATATGGTATCATCCACACAAAAGCAGACACGGCCTGTTTCACTGCCAGTTATACAAACAATGGTGAATTTGATACACAGTCATTAGCAAAGTTAATCATTAGCCTAAGCTAAAGAAAGTGAAGCTCCGTGGAAGTTCAAGGTCACTGCCACATTCTGAAGGCAACTGTTTATTATTATACTCCTCAAGAGTTTCAGTGTCCACAGCACTCGAGCTCTCTCAGTAAGGGCAATTTGATGTTCCAGGTTAACAGTTGCAAGTTTTTCAGCCTCTGCCAAGTAAATAGTAAGTTTTCACATAATTATTAATGATACGTTTCTTTATAGTTATTAATAAATTAATTCACTATAATTTGTATAATATAGAATTATTTGAAAAGTATACCTGTACACAGAATGGTTTTCACCAAAAGATATCTTCATGTTTTTTAACCAATTCCCTCAACAGAAGAAAGTTCTGCTTTTCAATTAAGTAGCTAGTGTCAAAATGGAAAATGCAAACTAGGCAGTATTAAGCATCTTGTTTTTCTATATTAGCTGTAGACAGTTCAACAACTGTTTTCAAATGCCAGTCAAGTGAAATGAATTTGCAAACGTGGGTATTGGAAGACCACAGGACTTTAAAAATCCATGTCTGAAATAATTCTAAAATTTTCCCTTTCAACCATATCATGTTTTATCAGAGATCCTATTTTCACATCCTTCCATCCTGAAAAAAATGATTTGTAGAAACCTGTACGTGTGCCACGTCAGGCTGATACCTATCGGCTTAAGAAACAGTCTAGTACCAGCAAAGCAAGGAAAATGAATCTTGAAATTCAACATGAGTCATTTTTCCTTTCAGTACAGTATGAATATCAGGCCCCAGCACAGGGTCACTGTATGTGATAGGGAAATTGTCTTTCACAAGAGATGTAAAACGTGATGATCTGGTCCACCTGCAGAAATCAGTTGCCGGGGAAATCCTCATCTCAAAGAAAGAATGGGAAGCTTTTATCCTGGTTTTCAGCGAAGTTGTGATTACTTAATTCCCCTTCAAAATCAATTTCCAGTGTTAAAAATGTTAACCCTAATGGTCTAAGAAATTAAACAATAACTTCTGAACATGCTTATACATTCTCACTTATATGCCCTTATCTGTCAATCCTCTTGAAACCACTATTCCATTTCAATGACATAGTTGATATCTTCGTCTTAGATATTCTTTACATCAGGGGAAGGCTTCAATACTTATAAGTAAAGTGTACAAAAACCCCAATGCTATTAAGGAAGGCTTGCTACACTACCATAATACTGCTTTTTTGGTATTTTAACTAATTCATTCTTCTGAAAAAATAAAATGCAAAGTGTTCTCACTGTCCCTTAAGTGTCAAAGCTGATGTCAAACTTCCTATGCGCATGAAGGTGTAAATATGCCTTCTTGTACAGAAAATTGCTAGCTGTTTTTAAAGGCAATGCACAAAATATCTACTTCCAAACTTATATCCGTTTACTCAGGACAATAATTTCACTTTGTGCAACGAACAATAAATTGCAGTCGAAACTGCAACAACAACAAAAAAAATCCCTGACGAAAGATGTTTTGATTTGTAGGCCTAGTTCTGAATTGCTAATAAAGTTCTCAGAAAAAAATAATATGAGTTTTACCAAATTGAAGATTCATCCCTTTGACTTATTAAAGGACTTCAGCTGTAACTTTTTGTGAAAGTCATTTTACTCAGAGAGGAAATTGAGATTGATACCTACCTTTACACATAGCATAAGCAATGAACACCAGAAATCCAAAACTACTCAACTAACTTGGAAGAAGGAAAATAATTCTAGGGATTAATGTCAGTGGAGTATTTTTTGCATTTGCAGCTGTCATAGACACTAAGGACCAAAGCGGTTGTCTACAGTTTTCCTTTCAACAGGTAGATCAGAATCCACTCCCAAGGATTCTTCTAGTGCAGCCAGTATCTGCTACCATCAGACCAAGCAGGGTAAAGACAAGGATTCACTCATTTCCACTAATTCTGGTGTCAAGTTTTATGCTGGTTTTGGACTCCAGCTTTCACTTTGCTCAGTCTGGATCTGGCTCTTCCTCTGTATTTCACTGTGAATATTTCTCCTCTTTTCTAGTGGTTTACCAGTCTCTCCATTCCTCCTCTCCACATTCATCTTTGTCCTTCTCACCATTCACCTCACATGTCGCCTGCTGCTGATGCAAGGCAAGGCAAAAGAAGCCATTTCATTTAAAATGTAGAGTCATCTGCTCTGGTGAAAGAAACACGGCACATGGTACAAAAGTACCTAATTCTGCATGATACTAGAGGTTCAGCACAGGTTGCTAGTACTGAGAAAAAAGAGAAGAAATGCAGAACTAGGCTGACCCAGCTCCGAAAACAACAGGAAATGTGATTCTAGGAGGTATCAGGAGGTATATCCTGACTAGAGCTGGTAAGTATTAAGGCCAATGTGCAAAGCTCCACCTGATGGATTGGATAAAAGACTGAAGTATTGGAAAAAACAACCAGGTAAAACAGTCTGGGCAGAGGAAAGGAGCAAAGCGACCACAGTATCCTCATTCTGCAGCTACACCAGGCCTTTACAGCTCCTGGTACAGCTTGTTCAGAGCGAGCTCAAGTATCCCCACATGGCACTACATCATTTGTCCTACTGTTAAATCAATGTAAACTCATGATCACTTGATCCAAGAATATTTTGTACAATCTGCTTTTGCATAATTTCCTTGCTACTTAGTAGTTTCAAGGCTAAATAAGGCTTTCATTCTGCATTAAATGCCCTGTTAGGCCCCACATCCATCACTCACATGGTACACTACAGAGATACTCTCCACCCTCTCTGCCAATTTACTAATTTAGGGACTAATTCATTTCTTCTTATTTTTTTATGCTAAATTTTCCTTTATCTTCAGTAGAAGTGAGGTCAGTTCTTTAGGGTTTAGTTCTGAAAATACTCAAGGAAATACAAGCTGCAGCAAGAGAAGTAACATTACTAACTTGTGATGAGCTGTTCACACTCACACAACTGACCACTTAAATCAATTTTCTGTCCAAATCCTGGGCAGAATTTGACAGATATTTTTGCAGCAATTCATGCATCCCCAAGAGGAGTAAACATTCCCTCTGAAAATAAGTTGCTAAAAACCCAGTCCATTTTCTTGATAGGTAAGCCTGGCTTGCCTTTTATGCACCTCCTGATTTTCTTTATGTGACTACTCAACTAACTCAGCAGACCTAAAGATTTTAAACAGATATAGTGTTATTTCTTTTCTTCCTTAGCATACGAAAAAGCGTAACTGACTTGGACAAAAGCCCCAAACCTGTCAGGACTATTTTGTATACAGTCAGTAGCATTCACATATATACATTTTTCCGTGCACAAAACTATGACAGTTAGGAGAGCAATAACATTACACCTTTCAAACAAGAGGATACGAAAGAGAAACAAAAGACCCCAAGACCTCCCTTTTGATCCAGTACCATATTCTGCTCTCCTCTTTTCTCCTTTTTTGTTACTTATAATGAAGAGAAGAAAACATGATATAGTAAGTGGAAAAAGTTAAATGGTACAACAGTCATTTACAGACCTGTGCATAGCTTGTGAAAGAGACCAACACAAAGCGGTTACTATCTCTCAACCTGTTCATTCACTTTGTTCATTTTACCCCTCTCTTATGAATCAAGCAGAAGCAATGCAATTTCTAGCCAACACTGCCATTTATCAAGGCAGATAGTCTAGTTGCCAACAGTGTAAATGAAGTATATAGCATATCCATTACATAGAAGCTGCAGAGCAGACACACAGTTTTAGTTTTCTTAGACACTTGTAAGAGCGGGGTCAAGACTGAGCAAGTGCTTTCATGCTGAATTTTCTGTTCTTATGTTTAGTGAACTTAATCTTTCAGGGACCTTTGGCCCAGTTTTCCTCTGCTTTTCACTTTATCACTTATACTATATCTATAGTATAGCTGTTATGTTGCTCTCCTCTGCCTGGACTGGCTACAAAATAACACCATTCAATCACAGAGGGTTATATATCTATTTGTAACAGCAGTGAAAGATGACATGGGGTCAACGAAAAGAAGAATCAGGCTCTCCATGTGTGATCTTATTAGAGAGAAATGTATTTCTGGTAGTGAAATCCATTTCAGCTGTTATCTCAATTACCATGGCATGAAAACATGCTTTCCACACCTTATGAAAATCCTTTAGCTGTTTCACATAGTTTTAAAGCAATCCAAAGGCAGCTGTCATGTATGCAATACTGAATAAGTCCACTTGATGATCTCAGAAATCAAATTAAGGTGAGTATATTAAAAAATACAATTTTGTCTAAAAATACAGTCTCTTTCTCTCCAATCTGGAAGCCCCAAGGACATTTTTTCTGTTTGCACTGTTTATACCTCTATTCACCCTGACTACAAAGCCACTGGACAAACCTGAAGCAGAATGACCACAGATGAAAATGCAACTGTGAAGTACCGTTAAGGTTTTGCTACTATAAGTCATTTTTCAGAAAGCTTCAGCCTTTCAAAGACAGTAACTACTTTGTGTAAGAACACAAACTAATTGAGGAAGATATATAAGAACAGTGGTAAAGGCATTACAGAAAGCTGTATCTCAAAACTGCGCTGCAACCACTAGTAATTCGGTGTAATGTGAGTACCAAAGACTTCTAGATAAAAGACTTCACTAGATATTATACTTGATTATTGTGTCTATTAAGACACTAATTTTACATATAGTCTGAAGAAGATTGGAGTCTTTATTCTGGCACAGCAGAATCTAGTATCATTTTTCCCAGAGCTTCAACTTTTCATCTGTGATCTCTTTTATTAGACCTTACATGAACTGCATGAAATACCCACATAATAACGCAGCAGATGCTCACACACATCCAGGATTAGTAACTTATGGAAATCAAGGGTAAGAGAGCTAACTGAGCCTGTCCAGTCTCACCTACTTTTGAAGACTGAACTGAACTTGTCCTAGTCACTGAGCATGGAGAAGAAAAGCTTCCACAAAAGCAGATGCTTCTGAAAAGCATTGTAATTCTTATAGATGAGCGATGACTAACAAACATACAAAGAGATTTCACACCAATCTTTTCATTGATTTGTTTCTCTTTGGAGGTAAAATATTTTAAAATATTAATATTAAACTATTTAATACTTGACATCAGTTAATATATATTTTCAATATAACAGAAAATAGTAAATTACATTATTTTACTTTGAAGCTCTTAACATCTATCTCTTAAAATGTGCAAATATTTTTCTATTTGTTATGCCTAAGATATTGTTTTCCATCCAAGGTCTTCTTTTTAGAGGACAACGAGTTTCCCAAAATACTGACCTCATAAAGCAACAAAATTACTAAGTATAAAGAGCATCTATGAGGATCTGGCTACGTTCTGTTAAGACATTCAGCAAACACTGCTGACTTTTATGGTGTGATTACCGAGATGTTACACTGCTATGTTTTGATTTGTTTTTCAAAAACAACTTTCTGCAAATTCAGATTTAGTAGTCGTTATTTACAGCGCATGGATTGTACATCCCTTACTGGAGTAACTGAAATTGAGATGTTACAGTATCTTTATTATATTTCCTCTTGGAAGTGCCGATGGAGAGAGAGAAAAAAAGAGCAAGTTGCTTTGTATTATACTACATGACTTGATAAATACAGTAATATGTTGCCTTTTTCAATGCAGTACAATCACAGAATCTGAATTTCAAGTGCTTCTCAATCATTTTCAGGAATAGATCCAAACCAGCAGTAACTTGAGAACTGCAGCTAATGAAATAAGCATTGCATCTGCCCCTAAGCAACCAAAGCCTGTATGCAAAGCTGATCAAACTATTTATACACTCCAGTCTTTAGAGAATATCTATCCTTGATTAAAAAAGAAAAATAGGTTCCATCCTTTATCACAAACTGGTACTGGTATCCACGTTTTTGTGCAATTTTGTATGCCACTTTGCCAACTGGAGCCTCACAATTAATAAGATGTTGTAAATAACACTTAAGAATGTTTAATAAAAATGTCACTAAAACATCAAGAGCAGTTGCATGTTGGCTGCTAAGCCCTGTTCCCTAACCTGTACCTTCCACAGGAAAAGCATCAACTCCTACAGAATTCTTTCTGGTTATGAATCTAACGCAGATTTTGTCACCGTCATCTACAGCAAAACAGACAAAGTATCCCATCAATTTAGTAAAACAAACTTACACAATCTGCTTTATAAGTCCCACACTGAGCCTCTCATATGTTATCTTGCACATGGAAGCCGGTACCTGATGGCAAAGCAGACTCAATCTTTCCACTGCACTCCGGGCAATGTCCCGTACGAGCCGTGGGTGGCAGCAGCGTCTGCACCGCCTGCACATTCCAGCCGGGACACTGTTTTGGGTCACAGGTTCACGCAGTGAACGGGAACCATCCCCACACACACATACCTAACAAGTGTCCCAGCTCCGACTGCCATCACAGAATAAAGTTATATTCATTTCCGTGATCATCTGCCTTGTGGCTTGTCTTTCAGTACAAAGTACTCGAACTGAAGACGTTAAAAGTGATTAAACAAACGCACATTGTTAAATAAACAGGAAGTTGTGCTGGATATACAGATGGAGAAACTGAAAACACTGATAGTATCAGGAAGCAGTTCAACGATTTGATTCATGCAGCATGCGCAACAACAGGTATCGCTGTTATCACAAATTCAGTCTGAATCAGGAGGAGCACTTGCAGACCTTAGCCCATAAATTCAGACTGTCAAGAACCCGTTCTGTGTTGAAATCATCAACCTTTATCTCATACCAATGTTTTATCTCCTAAATCAGACTTATTTTGCTATCTTTCAGAAACCTTGCTTAATAATATTCCACTTTCAGAACAAAAAAAACCACAAAGGCAT